TATTTTCCTATCTCACATTAGATTCCACACGAATTTCAACATTATTTTCAGTATTTTCAGCATCTCTTATACTAACAACATTATGCTCCACCTTATTTGGAATATTAGTAGAGTCTAAATTTTCAATATTAATTTCAAATTTATCCAAAACAGATTTTTCAGTATTTAAACATGACATCTCATTTTAATTGAAAATAACATCTCTACTAACAACAGTTTTAAAATCAGGCCTAGATCTTAACCATAATTTATAACCCTTAACTCCCTCCGGATAACCCAAGAGAACCCATTTTTTAGCTGTAGGGTCTAATTTGTCATTATTAACACATATAAAAGCAGAACACTCAAACACCTGAATATTTGAAAAATCAATTTTCCTACCAGTCCACCTAAATTCAGGACAAGTACAATTCAAAGTATTTGAGGGTGATCTATTGACTATATAAGCTGCTGTCATAACAGCTTCCCCCCAAAATTTTTTAGACAAACCAGATGAAGCCAAAAGGCTTCGAACCCTCTCGAAGAGTGTTTGGTTCATCCTCAATGCCACCCAATTCTGTTGTGGTGTATAAAGGACAATCCTATGTCTATTTATACCATTTTTTTTTACAAAAATCATCAAATCATCTATTATCAGTTCTTAGATATTTAATTTTCTTTCCAGTTTGATTTTCAACTTTAATTTTCCAATTTTTGAAAATCTCAAACACATCAGATTTATTTTTCAATAGAAAACCCATAGTTTTCCTTGAAAAATCATCAATTATAGATAAAAAAAATATCTAGACCCACAATGTGTGGGCTCACTAGCTGGGCCCCACACATCATCATGCAAATAATCCAACACAGATTTAGACAATTTACGTTTCTCACTAAGGGAATGGGGAAATTGTACTCTATGGTGTTTACCATACACACAATTATTACAAAAAGACACATGATTAAATTTTACATTTCCAAAGGATCTATTTTTATGTAAAATTTCTAAGTCTTTATTGCTTAAGTGTCCTAATCTCTTATCCACAAATCACTATTCTCACTAACAGAATTTATTGTGTTTACAGACATATTAATTGGTTCAGCACAAGTAACGAACAAATTATTACGTTTTACAGCTTTAAACACAAGTAAAGATTCCTAAGTAATTTTCATACAATAATTTTCTCATTTTCCCTCAAACTCTAAATTTGATAAGACAGTACAAGATAACAAATTATTTGATAAACCAGAAACATGTCTCACATTGTTTAATTTTAATACAAAACCAGTGTTAATTTTTAATTCACACTACCAATACCAAGCACATAGAAACACTATTATCAGCCATGGAAACAATGCAATTTTATAAGGTTTTGCATTCACAAAAAATTGATTTTATAGAAGTCATATGATAAGTGCATTCATAATCAATAAACCATCATTCATACATATATTGTTCACATTCAAACAATCGGAAGTCACAATAAATACATCAAAATAATTTTGATCAAGTAATGTCATATTGGCTAACTCATGAACATGTTGTTGACTACCATTATTATTATTACTGTTTGTATTATTATTATTATTATTATTATTCTTAGGACAATCACGTATAAAATGGTTCACCACAATTATAACATCTTTTACCCATTTTATTTAGAGTTCTAGGTCTATTGTTTCTTCTTGTTTTAGATCTATGTTTATTACTACTATTCTGGTTTTTACTATTATTACTATTACCAGAATTACTTTTCTTATTTGATCTAAAAGGAGATCTACCTTTTGTATACATGACTTCACCCTTATTAAACTTATGAATTTGTAAATTTAATTCTTTAGATTTTAGCTCATAAATAACTACATCTAATGTCACATTATCACACCCATATTTAATAGCAAATTTAACATCTATATATGAGTTAAGTATGACATTTAAAAAAAACCTATAGCACTGTAATCATCAATATTTTTACGGTCAGTAAGTTTTATATCTTGTATTAGTTTTGAAAAATTATCCAAATTTTCTTCTAATTATTTTGACAAATCAAGTTTAAAACAAAAAACAAAAAAAAAAATTCTAACAAATACAGTCACTACAAAAAAGTTGAAATTTAGCTAAAAAAAAAAAATTTGTAGCAAAAGATAATAATTCATAACAAAAATATTTTTGCGACGAAACTTATTTTGTCGCCTATACCGCGTTAGTAAAGGTCTTTGGCGATAAATATGACTTTCGTAATAAAAAAATAAGTTTATTGCAATGAAAAATTTAGAAAATAGATATAGCTACAAAAATATGATGTCATAGCTAAAATTGTTTTGCTATAAAATTAAAATCCATAACAAAAGAGTTTTAGCAACAAAATATGTATGACTTTTGTAACCAAATGATTTTAGCTATGAAAGATAATTTTGTAGCTAAAACTTTTTTGCTATAAAAATAGAATTTTCTAGCAAAAAATTTTAAGCGACGAAATTAATTTTGTAATAAATAATTTTTTTTAGCGATGAAATTAATTTTTGTTGCTAAATGATACATTTTAACTATAAAAATATTTCGTAGTTAAAAATATTGTAGCTAATTAGATACTTTTTTGTAGTGAGTCTACTGAAAAGTGAAGTTTGAGTGTATAGTTCATCTAATTTATTCCACAATGCCACAACAGTTTCTTGTTTACCTACTTTTCTAATAACATGATCTGGTAAAAGTATTATAATAGAGTAAGTCATTTCATCCGACTCATTTTTCCTCTCTAGAGGAATTTGAGCTGCATGATCCAACTTAATAGCTCTAATTAATCTTTGAGTAACTAAAATACTCCTCATTTTTGTTTCCAAATTCCAAAATTCATTTTCTCATCAAAAGGATGAATACTAAAAATAGATTGACCAACCATTTTACTATTTTAATAAAAACATATTTTAATTTCAAAAAATTATTTAGTTTAATTTTCACACAAAAATAGACAATATGACAAACAATACACACGAAACAAAAATACAGATTATCACACAACAATAGATAATCACAGAAGCAATTTAGGCAAATAAAGCAATAGATCACAAACCTATTACAACATACATTCGTGACTATTCAACCGAAGGTACTCGAGAATCACTCACGGCAGTGAGGATCGGAGTTTAGTAACCTTGGTTTAACAATAGCCTTTACAATTGTTTGGATGCAAATATTAAATGCAGAAATTAAACCAAACACAAAAAATAGTAATAAAAGTGAGTTTAGGGTTTATCCTCGTAGCACAATAACAAAAAATTATATTCCTACAAAACAAACCTATTCTGTTTTAGAAAATAGATGTTAGCCAACTATTTGTATCAGAAACAGAAACAACAAAAGATGTTTTTATTCTAACAAAGTGTTAGAATCCCCGAAACTGATGAAATATTACAAAAACTTACACAAACGAACAAGAACAAAACAAGACTTAAAGATTTTAAAGATTTCAAACAAGATTTAGTTTGAATATTATAGATCTTCAAAATATATTTAGCAAACTTTTAAGATTTGAATAAATCTTTTAAATTTTGACTCCCCAAGAATAGATTTGAAATGATCTTTAACAAACTTTACAAAACAGAGGCTACCACACCCGATTTACACTTTATTAAGAATGAAGTTTGAAAACAAAACTCGTTTATAAAAAATAAAACAGTTTTGTAACAAACTAATAAAAAACTAGTCCAAAAACTTAACCAAACTATACGATTTGTAGCGATTAAGTCCAAAACAACACAATCGTACTCGACCGAGGCTAGAAAACACATATCGAGTGAGATTTCGGCCGGTATAAAATAGATCTATAAGGAAAAGAATTGAAACACTTTAAAATAGTTTGATTCAACCATATCATTTATAGATCTAACTATTTGCACCCAAAGCAACGCAAAATAGAGAAGATTAACATGATTTCGAAACTAAAATACACCAAAAGCTCTGATACCACTTGTTATTAAAATATATGAACAGATCAAAGATTTTAATACAAAATCGACAAAAATTTGAACTAGATTTGGTTAAACTCAGCCCCTAACAAACTCGGAAACAAATTGACACAAAAACCACACCAATTAGCGACTACACAAAAGAACCGGCCCAAAACCACAAGACACTAACAAAAACAGAACCCCCACGAAACATACAAGGCGAAACAGTTTAAAACAAACGTCTATAAGTTGATCGAGCCACTTGCGGCTACGAACAACATCAAACAAGGGAAAAAAAATGCGTCACAGGAACTCCACAATGTTACAAGAGGAAAGACGCCGCCATGAACCGCCGAAAAAGATCGCCGGAGAAGATGGATAGAGAGGTCGAAAGAGAGAGGCTAAAGAGGGTGAGTGTAGAGTGAGAGAGTGTGAGTATTATGAGAGAAGCCTCTCTCTCTCTCAATATATAGGATGGTCAAAGGTGAATGGATAGCCAAGATCAAAGCCCTAAAATGGACGGCCCAGATTGCGTCTAGCAAAGGACGCAGATCCTAACTGGGGCGGGTCATGGGTTGTGGGTCGCGGGTCGCGGGCACAGCAGGTAAGTTGGAGCGGTTTAGGTAGACGGGTCACAAGGTGCGGGTCAACGGGTGTGGGTCGTGGGTTAGGGCCACGGTTCTATTAGACTACATAATTGAGTATCTGTGTCTTATTTAGGGTGGATCCAATTGGACTAAAAATTTTGTGAACAATTTTGCATACTATTGAAACAAAAATTTAAATCAAACATCCCATTTCAAATTACAACCAAACAAATTTTTTTTAAAATATTAAATTTTTTATGATTTGAACAAATTTTTTTTTCAATTCCAAATTAATATTTACATAATAATACACATTATTTGAAAAAATACTACTAATTATTTATAAAAAAAATACTAATTTAAAATTTGTAATATTATAAATATTATTTAAAATTTAAAATTGAAATGAATTATTATAGTAAACTAGCCAAGGTGCACAATAATAGTGAATAGTAAGAATCAACACAGTCTTACCTAGCTTCCTTCCTAGGATTCTTTGTGACGCTGCCTTAGAAGCTCTTTATCCCCACAACCACAAGAAGTTTGGCGTAAACACATGCACTCAGGATCGAACTCAAGACCTAACCCTTGTACGGACGATGTCTCACCGTTTGATCTACAAGGGTTTGACCCACAACCACAAGAAGTTAAGAGCCTCCACCAATGCGCAATCATCTGCCGCGCCATCTTGTGCACCGAGGCCGCCGTGTATCCATCACTACTCCTCTTGGGATTTATATCAACCTGCACCACAACCAAGCCAACTATATATATGGATTCATGAGGAAGAACTGAACTGAACAACAACACTAGAGCTCCGTACTACTTACATTGGGAATGAACTTCATCGCCACTGTTATCTGTCCTCTGTATGTCTCATCTTTGAGCTCCACATTGAACGCCGCTGGCCTCACCTCTATCCACCCTCCCCCGTGCTCGTTTCCTTCCACGATTATTCGTCTCAGGAAAATCCTGCGCGCACACCATATGGTATCATATTCGACATAGTTTCAAAAGTGGCAATTCAAATTAAGTCCAGTAGACGGCTATTGTTTACTAACATGGTTTCGCCGACAAATTTGGCATCCAAGAAAAATCTCTCTTTCAGAATCCTAAGCTTGAGGTGTGTCACAGTTTCTACTTCTGATGGCAGCAGTTGGAATGTAAACTTTTCGTTCCAGTAGATTTTGTCCAATTTTCCTGCATGAACGCAGACGACTGTCATCCAAAGCATCGACCTGCTAATTCGCGGAAAATGGAAGCAATAATGCTATTTTGTTTCAACATAATAGACCTGATGAGCTCTTGCTTCTGCAGATTTGCTTGCCGCATTCGACAACAACATAATAGTCGGGATGCCCTGCCATTGCAACACTCTAAAAGTTTAATGTATTTATGTTTAACAAGCTGTGTAAGAAGAATTCAGCTAAAAAATGCACGCAAATGCAAATGCAAACGCACCAAGGATGATGGCTCGGTCGACGCCTTGTGCACTAACAAGAACTACTTCAAGAACTGCACCTTTCATCTTGGTTAAGGGTACATTTTTGCTTCACATTTCTTGTCACTAGTCACAAATGGAAGGAAGTTATGCAAACTTCAATTCAATAGCAACCATTAAGGGAGTTACAAGAATTCATTTCATTTTAATTTTATTGAGCTGATCCATGACTTAAATTGGAATTCAATAGCATGCTTTCGTTAAATGCATACCCTTTTAGTAAGTTATGCGATGAGAGAATTCCATTTAATAAATAATAAATATTAAGACATGAAATTACTTATATTTTGAATTGAACCTATTTATTTCTGTACCCTTTCTTTAAAATGATAACCATACATCTTCAAATATAGTGTTGTTGAAATGTAGTATAAACTTTTGTGTCGTTGCTTTTGATTGCAATTCAAATATTATTTCCTAATTAATCGATATGCAGGTTATGTGTGGTATGTGACTATGATGAATGGGGGAGAGGGAGGACTTGAATACTGGACGTTCGGGCTCTTATATCATATTAACTAATTATTGAATACTGGACGTTCGGGCTCTTATATCATATTAACTAATTATATCATTTAAAAGGATACGCATGCATCATTAATTATTATATAGTATTTTTAGTTTCGCATATATTAGTGTATATTATATAGCATAGGTAGATGTGTGTGATGATGCTTTCCCAATCCTCCATGAAAACGATTTCCTTCATTTGACTATAGATGTGGTAGAGTCAATGAAACAGTTTAACCTGAATGATGATTCAGTTCATCTTTAGACATATACTGAAAATGCATGTACTAGAATACTAATACTATACTACCTTGTTTCATCAGTCGGTGATTGACAAATGTTCACGACTTGAAGCCATTATATGGATGATCAGAGTTAACCTGCAGTTGCAGATCCGGCAAAATCAGGCTATAGCTACAATTGAATCTCTATAGAAAGGTCATAAAGTGAGATAATATATTACCGTGCATTCTTTTCACAAAGTCACAAAAGTCCTCGGAATTGTGATTCTCCAGCAATTGTGGGCAGAGTCTCAGATAGGTAAAGCTATAGATTTTTCTTCGATCCGGGTCGTTGGCAGGCCTCGCATTTTGTAGGATTTTCTCGTAGCGTTCTTTGCTGAAGCACCACAGAGCATTTTCACACGCGACATTTACGCCCTTCTCCCAAGCAGTATTCAACACCTAAAAACATATGTATGTTAACAGCAGCATTAGTGACTGAATAGGTGAAGTTATATAGTAATTTGTTTGTTGCCTAACCTGCCAAACTAATCCCTCGGGATCGGATAATGCCTGTGGGCATTCGTTGGCCTGATCCTGAGTTCGTAGTTCAGCACATGTGAAGTTTAAAATAGCCCCATGCTTTTTTAGCATCTCCACAATTGCAGTGTAGCCGTTGCGATTGCTAGGATTATAGAGCCCTGCAGTTAACTCTGCGGCGTGGTTAGCTGTCTTATACCACCAGTGAATGCCGGATACCTGAGAGTGCATCAAAATAGTAGAATCAATCGAAAATGGAGGGAGCTGAAGATGATGGAAAAAAAGTTGAGGTGAAACAAAAATACCTTGGCAGCAATTGGTGTACAATCAAATACTAGCTTTGCGAAGGATAGTACTCTATCGCCATGATCAATAAGAGTTTGCGAGTACCAGTCGAGGAAGAATCGGCCGTAAGAGCTATCATACTGGCCGCCATCGCCAAAGAAGGAGGTTTCATATGGGTAAGAATTATAGTCACCTGCATTTGCAGGAGGCACTCCCCAAAATGAGTGACCCCTTTCTTCTGCTGCTTCTTTCAAACTCATCATCAAGTACCTGTCATGACACTGGAAGAAGGGAAATGTAGTTTCAATTTAGGCAGATCGATCATTGTAAGGATGAGAAAAAAAGCATTGGAATGGTTGAAGCAGGACCTGAAATTCCCCAATACCAGGATATTTCCAGCCATATTTCGAGGGATAAGATGGATATCGTAGTTCGCCGCAGGGGCCGAGTCCAATTTCAACCGCGGTTATGGTACCATTTGCTAAATACTCATCAAACTCCACACGAAAGCTCCTCATGAAATCGAAATAAACCTGAATGAAGAGGCAGGAGCAGGAGCAGGATCAAAACGAACCTCAAGAAAAAAGAAAGTAGCAGAGGTATATGAATATGACAATTCAAGATGGAAAACAGAGAATCTGAGAGAAGAAGCAAATAGAGTTCTAAGGTTGGAATTACCTCAATGGCCGTCCGGTTCATCAAAACACGCTCCGTGTCAATTCCCCAGGTAAGACATTCGTGATTCCGTCTTCCATCTCTATCTGTGAAGAAAATATCATGATTCGCATTGCCAATTTGTGACACCCATTCTGGAAGGGGAATATTCACATCATCGCCAACATTTCCTCCACATTCATGGAAGGACAGGACCACCTATTACCATTGTCGATTAAAATCAAAGCCACGCAGCAGTACAAAAACAGCAACAAAAATATATACGGTATATGATTTCACAACACAACCTCACAGTCACAGGGGAGGGGACTCTGACCTGCAGCTTGAGGCCCGTGTTTCGCACAAGTTGAAAAAGTTCGTTGTAGGCCCTCCAGTTATATTGTTGAGGACTACGTCCTTCCACTAATCCCCACCAGCAATCAACCATAACGCCATCAACCCCCATTCTCTTAAGTTGAAATAGCTGATTTTCGAGACTTGTATAATCAACCAATTCACCCCGCTCATTGATGACTCCCAGCTATATATTTCCAAAGGATGGGATACATTGTTAACCAAATGCAATGAAAATTAACATGAGATAAGAATAATCATGCAGTTTATATATTATTAGCAATTTGGTGAAGGAAAACAACATATGTAATGTAAGTGAAGAATTGTCTTATATTGATGGATGAGTGAACTTACAGGTAACATCACGTAAACTGGAATGTAGTTATCGCCTTCAAAATTCCTCTCCTGGGAAACCAGACTCAATGAAAAGTAAAAATTTGAATATACCACAATACGTAATTTTACAAGAGCTCATTTACCTATCGCATAAATAAACAAATCTTATCCGTGAAACATTAATTTAAACCAATCGTCGTCATAATAGGAATATGCATAATAAATGTATTCAGTCAACTACAACAAACCAGGAGACCCATCTGCATAGGTAAAGTTGATTGCATATGCACCAAAAATCAACTGGCTAGCTACAAGTTCTATGAATATGCGTTTCTCAATAATTGCAAACATCTGTAAACGAACTGCTAAATTTCTATCCGCGAATCATGAACATGAAAGCAACAGTCGCGCCATTTCTCGGAGGTTTTTTACTGTATGCACAATCTCATTTACGTCAGAAATTTCAGTTAACACCTAATCTCGCAGGAAGTATATCAAGCAAGGATATATATTCTGAAAGTAGGTACACCCCTATGAACATAACCAACACTGCTTACTAACATACGTAAACATATGCGCATATAAACAACAAAATCAACAGGTAAATATACAGTGATGAATATATATACAGATATATGTATATGTATGTATATAATTCTGGAGAAAAAGGAGAGTAACTAGAATCACCATTAAATCAGTTCTTCGAGAGTTGGCGCGGAAGTCAACACCACGATTCAGGAACGCAGTCCTCAACATTTTGCTTTCAGTTGTTGTGCGGCGGCAACGAGGACTGACTGTGGAACACTGGAAGGGAAATGGCGTTGATCGAGTGGAAGAAGCAGGAGTGCGAAGGGCGAAGCTTCGGAGCATCTCGAGCGATGCAGTAACCGTCTCCATATTCAGTTTTCTCTGTGCGCAAGTGATGACTGACTAGAAATGTATGTGTATGTATATCAGAAAATGCTGAATTTATATACAACTTGTCCCTCCTCTTGTTTGGGTCAGTTTTCTGTTACTATTATTTTTATTATTTTAACTTTTTTTTATATATATATATATAAATATGTAGGGTGCGTCAGATTTTTATTTAAAATCAAATTAACTAATATTCATTTGTTTTTTCAATTAAAATATCATTAAATCAAATCAAAACCGCAATTTCAATCACAGACCAAAACCAAAAAATATTTTTTAAATATTTTATTTTTATTTAAATTTACATATATATCAAATTTATTTTAAATTTATAATAGTATATACACTATTTCCGTCTAATTTACTTAAGGTTGTATTTGTTTGGGGGTTTGGATTTTGAGTTGGGATTTGAATAGTAAGAATTTTGAATTTGAATAGTTGTATGATGTGATATAAATAGGTGTTAATGTGATGTTTTTAATGTAAAATTGATTTTTAGTATAATATAAAAAATAAAAAATAGATGTTTGATTTGGTGTTTTTGGGGAAAAAAAATTGGATGAACAGTAGATTTAAAATCCAATCCCCTAAACAAACACACCTACTAGTTTTTTATTTTGACATTTATATATTCTATTCGTCCCATAACAAAGTATCCATTTTATTTTATTTTAGTTCGTCCCATAACAAAGTATCCATTTTCTTTTTTTAGTAATTGTACTATCTACCTAACGCTACAAATACCTTTACAATTTACAATATATTATACAAATGTTATTACCTTTATATCACACGTACTAATAAGGTTATTTTAGTCATTTATACTTTATTCCTATTATATCCCAATATAATACTAATATTTCTAAAACTACGAGTAAAAAGCAAATGAATATTTGCTTATGGGATGGAGGGAGTATAATTTTGATGATTCTTTTTTACTATTTTACTCTTATTATTTTTTGTAAATAATTTTATAAAGTATACTGGAGGATAAAAAGAAAAAGGAAATTGCAAGTAAATGTTCAAAATAAAAATTATAACAAATAAAATAGAATCAATAGAATATTAAATATTTGTAAATATTTGGGTAAATTGTTTTTTAGTTCTGTAACTGACCCTTATCATTTTAGTCCCGTAAGTGAAGCATGTCGCAAATTAGTTTCATAAGTGAAAAATTTTCGTTGTTTTAGTTCTCCGACGCCGAAGACACCCGCGTGGCTCTCCGAAAGCCACGTGTCCACCAGGTCAGCGGCACCTAGCGGACACGTGGATTTTATTTTATTTTTTAATTTTTTTTAATTGGACCAAATAAAAAAAATTAAAAAAACAAATAAAATTAAAAATAAATTTAAAATCAAATTAAAAAAATTTAAAAAAATGAAAAGAAAAAAATAAATTCACGTATCCGCCAGACACGTGTCCGTCAGGTGTCACTGATCTGGCGGACACGTAGCCTCCGGCGAGCCACGCGGGCGTCTCCGGCGCCGGAGGACTAAAACAACGAGAATTTTCATTTATGGGATTAGTTTGCGACAGGCTCTACTTACGGGACTAAAAGATAAGGGGGTCTAGTTACGAGACTAAAAAAACAGTTTACCCTAAATATTACTCCCTCTGCCCCAAACAAGGTGCAACGTTTGCTTTTGGCACGGATTTTTAGGTGGGTAATATTAAGTAGGATAATTTAAAAATTAGGTGATGTGATGGAGATAAAAATATATATTTTATTTTTTTATTTGGATTATGTGAGGGGATAAAGTGTGGGGTAGAGATTAAGTATAATTAATTATTTTCTATTTTGGAAATGTTGCAGGGTGTTTGAGACATACCAAAAAGGAAATGTTGCAGGATGTTTGGGACGGAGGGAGTAGTATATTTTTTTGTAGATGAAATCTGAATGAGCTGACAATTTTGTTTTGGAGATAGTCGGGAAGGTATGAATATGAATACAACTTCAGAAGAAAATGTCAACAAATGAGAGTTTGGAAAGTAATAAATCCACAGATTGTAAAAGGAAAAGGACATCGGAATGGTGGGATCATTTTGCAAGAATAAAAGTTAATGATGTGATATTTGTTGAATGCAACTATTGTAAAGCCCGTTTCAAAGCTCCAAGTGATTATGAAACAACAAATAAAGAAGCATTTTGAAAAAGCTTGTAAAAAGAGACAAAAAAAATAAAATAAAATGGATATTCGGTAAACTGTTATGATGATGAGAATAAAAAAACTTGGTATGGGTCAAACACTTGAAACTCGAGTATTAATCAAGAAGATTCAAGGAATGCTCTAGCAACAATGGTTATTTTGCATGATTATCTGTTGAAAATGATCGATCACATTGGGTTTCGAAGATTTGTTGGTAATCTTCAACCGTGCTTCAACGTGATTACAAGAAATACTTTGAAAGGTGACATCGTCAAAATTTATGAAGTTGAAAAGGCGAAATGTTACGAAGTATTTGATAAGCTTAACAGTCGAATTGCTATCGCAACGGACATGTGGACATCAAACAATAATAAAAAAGAATTTATGTCAATTACTGGACACTTTATTAATGACTCTTGAATTTTGCATAATGTTATTTTGAGGTATGTTTATTTAAAAATGATTTTTGTTGTTTGTATATAAATGAAAGTTACTAACAAAAAATATATATTTTCTTTTATAGGTTTGTTTATGTATCAAGTCTTCATACCGCTGAAATCTTATCAAATGTCATTGTTGAGTCTTTGATGGATTGGAATATTGATAGGAAATTATCAACTATTACTATTGATAATTGTACTACTAATAATTCCATAATTCAACTTATTTTGGAGAAGTTGTTATCGAGGGACATGCAGGTGGATGGAAAGGTAATTCACATGCGTTGTTCTGTACATATATTAAATTTCATTGTCAAAGATGGATTAGAAATAATAAGTGGTGAATTGAAAATGTGCATGATAGTGTCGTTTATTGGACTGCTTCGCCTTCTAGAATTGAAAATTTTGAAGAATTTGCTCGCCAGTTGCATATTAATTGTACTATAAGATTAGTTCTTGATTGAAAAAAAAAACTCATTGTAACTCTACATATTTGATGTTAGAGACGGCTATAACATATAAAGATGTGTTTCAGCAACTTAAATTCCGGGAGAGATATTACAATTGTGAATCAAGTAATGAGAATTAGGACATTGTAGTTGAAATATATGGAAAGTTAAGGGTTTTTTTTTTTATCAAATGACTGAGTTGTTTTATGAAACTCTTTATCCTATATTTAATTTATATTTTGCACATATATGTGAGATCAAATAAAAATTAGATGAATAGATGAAGAGTTCAAATGTGTTGGTTCATGAAATGACAAGAAAAATGCTTGCGAAGTATAAAAAATATTGGAGTGATTGTCACATCATGTTCGGGGTTGCTGCTGTATTGGATCCAAGGTAAAAGTTGAAGTTGATTGAGTTTTACTTTAATTTGATATATGGTGATGGAGCTGATGATAAAGTTAATCAAGTTCATCAAAATTGTTATGACTTGCTAATTGACTATCAATCTAGGGCTATGCCTTCTTCGGGTACGAGTTTGATGTATGATATTGGTACCTTGGATTTAGGAAGTACAATGTCTCGCAATCAGTTTGTTTCTAATGACGTATTTGATCTTGATCCATTGATGAAATATGACCAGTTTGTAGAGTCAAGTTTGAATGATTCTTCTAGGACATCTACGATGTCAGAGTTTGATATATATTTGGAAGAAAACGTCTTACGATGGACACAAAATTTTGATTTATTGGGTTGGTGGAAGATGAATGGGGTGAAGTATCCATATTTGCAAAAAATGGCGAATGACATTTTGGCGATTCCGGTTTCTACGGTTGCATCTGAATCCACATTTAGTAATAGTAGCAAGATTATTAGCCCTCATCGTAGTAAGCTTAGTCCTTCTATTTTGGAAGCATTAGTATGTACTCGTCATTGGTTATGGAATGAAGCAAAAAGTAAGTTGATTTTAAAATAATTTTATTAATATATTTAAATTATAGGCAAAATTTCCCGAAACCTCCCTGTGGTTTCGAAATTCCGTGCAATTTCCCCATGTGCTTTAGAAATTGCGCCACACACTCTTATGCTTTATAAAACTATGCGTCAGGCCCCCATTCTGTCTATAGTTAACATTCAGTGACAAACACGCGCCAGTATTACGATTTTTGGTGGAAAAGTGCTATATTAACCAAACGAAATGCCTATTCTACCCTTCTATTATATATGATATACTTCTACCCTACCAAGTTCTCATTTACCCCGTACAGTGACGAGCAAATGGTCGCTTCGAGTTGACGGATCGCTGGTGACGGAAAAAAACACCTAAATCAACCCAGGTTTGTGCTCAACATATTCTCATTTTCTAAAACTCGTCAAGGCATGAACTTATGTATTTTATTTCAAAATCCTACATTGATTGTCATTCGGGGTGATTTGTAGGGTTCGTCGATGATTTCGTTTCACCTCAGATCGAAATTTTAATCTATTATTTTTCCTTACGAAATTTATGAAATTTTTTTCCAAATTCGTGTGATATTTGTTTCGGTCATCCATTCCGTTTTATAAATTAGGGCTTCAATGAAAGCTCTATGTGAAATTTCTTTTCTAATGAATTTCTTGGGTTTCATTTATTTGAAAATTTCCTTGGTGTATTTTTGTGTTTGTTCATTGTAATGGTAGTTGAAGTTTACTCAGATTTACTGGGTGCAATTTTCAATTTTTAATGTCGATGTGTGTTGTTGTAGAGAGAATGTTATTTTCAAAGATGTCATCTGCTAGTAGCAAGACAAAGAATGTGAAGAAAGATGAGATCGATTTGCGGTACAAATGCCCTCGGTGCAAGTGTGGAGCTCTTGCAGCAATATGCATTTTTTGACCGATGAAAGTGACGCAAGACAGATTATTCTGTAACTATCATATCGGCGTTTGTGATTTTTTCGTTGGTT